TATATAATATACACACTTTTGCAGATGTATGTAAATATTAGTTTTTATTTTATATTATATTTAAATCATATATTTTCAGTAAAGGTGTCACGGTGGCGCAGTGGGTAGCACGATCACCTCACAGCAAGAAGGTTGCTGGTTCGAGTCCCTGTTTGCTCAGTTGACATTTCTGTTTGGAGTTTGCATGTTCTCCCCGTGTTGGTGTGGGTTTCCTCTGGGTGCTCTGCTTTCCCCCACAAGTCTAAAGACATGCGGTACAGGTGAATTGGGTAAGCTAAATTGTCCGTAGTGTATGTTTGAGGATGAGTGTGTATGGATGATTCCCAGTTATAGGTTGCAGCTGGAAGGGCATCCGCTGTGTAAAACATATGCTGAATAAGTTGGCGGTTCATTCCGCTGTGGCGACCGCAGGTTAATAAGTGACTAAGCTGAAAATAAAATGAATGAATATTCTCAGTAACTTTCCCCATGGTTTCTCCACATATTTTCGTTTTACATGCTCAGGTTAGTGTAAATTAAGATTTTAGGGGACAGCACAGATATTACAGTTTTCTTAAATGATTTTAATACTCACTGTTTATCTTAATAAAACGTTATCTCGCAACAAATAAGTAAAAGAAACAAGGCAACTATAAACCATGTGACCACACCGACACACCCTCTTCCTGAGACGAGCGGACGGATTTCATCCAATCAGCGAGCTCCAGGTTTAAAGATGGCGTCTTCCGTCGGCTGCAGGACTCTGTCAGTATTGTTTTTACTTGTATTATTCATAACCGTTCATTGCACAGATACTAAACCCAAAAAGAAGAAGGATATACGGGATTATAATGATGCAGATATGGCCAGACTGCTGGAGGAGTGGGAGGTAAGAGCGAATTTACCTTAACAGCTGCAGTCATTCGGTCATGTGCCTCAAATGTACCACGGTAAGTTGGTGTTACATTCGCACATTCGTTCATTTTAACGGTCTTTCTACATTGCTTACGATTTGCAAATGACGTTTTTCAGAAATTATAACGTTATAATTAAGGAGAATGTCCGAATGTGTGAGTATTAAATCAAATTTACCTCAATCAGTAGCTGAAATACCATCAATGCTAACGTTACTGCACAGCCCCAGTAAGTTAACGTTAACTGAATATCCTCCAGACTAACTTTTAGAAACGTTTGGTTTTCTATTTTGTTTATGTTGCTTTATGATGTTAACGTCAACCCGACACTTTATTTGTTGTAGTAATAATAAATTTAGCTAAAGTTTTATATTCGCACATTCGTTCAGTGACAATTAGTGACAGGCTCTCTGCATTGTTTACCATAGTAAATTTAATATTCGGTCTGAAATCGCATGTAAATGTGACAACATTAACACTATTTATTTCAGTGAAGAATGTTCTACTTCTGTAGTCATGGCTGCTAATATGATTTCACTATTTAAAGTCTGCAAATAATATTTTACTGAAATTATATTATTAAGAAGAAAGTCTGAATGTGCGAATATAAAACCAACTTTACCTCAATCAGTAACCGCTGAAATACCATCACTGCTACAGCAAAACCACAGTAAATTAATATCCTCCACACTAGCTTTCCGAAACATTTACTTTTCTACTTTATTTCTGTTGCTGTATGATGTTGATTTCAACCCGACACATTATTTGT